TAGGAAGTGGAGGCCACTGCTGGCAAGTTCACGGCACTCAGCCAGCAGCCCAGAGAGCAGCTGGATATCGGCCCTGGTGTGGGCCGTAGCTCCCTGGGGGACCCCCACTTCCCTTTTCCATGCTGTAAGCTTCCTAGACATCCCCCCCGCCAGTTCCTCCAACAGGGAGACCTGGTTTCGTATTTGCCGGGAGAGGGCCTGATGCTCAGTCCAAGACAGGCCCCTGGTATCCGCCTTACCTTACCCAAAAGCCAGCACTGCCTGCAGCTCGTCCAGCCTGACCTTCCATCCCCAGGCTGGGGAGGAAGGCCCGAGGGCCATGCTTGCCTAGGCCCAGGCAGAGCCCCTTGCTGTAGTAATTCCAAAGCCCAGAAATCGAGCTCCAAAGCAGCCACAAACGGGTGTGGTCCTGGGAACACACAGATGAAGCACAGAGCAGCTCCCTCTCCAGCAGTAACGGCAAACTCCTCCCACTCCAGTGGGAGGGGAGACAGTAAGCCCCACAACTGTGCAGATGGGACCGTAGTCTCTACACTGCCAGCACAGGGGGTAGGGACGGTCGGTTCTGCCCCCCAGCGACAGGGCTGTTTAGCCAAAGGGGAGACAGTCGGTCTCCAGCAGCCGGGCTGTGTGTCTAAAGGGGAGACAGTCGGTCTTCAGCAGCAGGACTGTGTGTCTAAAGGGGAGACAGTCGGTGTAGCGTAACGCCAATATTAAATCCACAAATTCCGCTGGTTCAGGAAGTAATCCACAGTCAAGCGCTGGAAAAAGCAAGGCAATATCCCAAACCTCCCAGTAACCGGACGAAACACAGTTCTGAGAGTCAACTGAGGTCTTTATTATACAAGTCCCCATGCAAGGGGTTTCCTGAGTCCCCTCCCAGGGGCATTCCCAGAGGGGACTACATGGGGGACTAACTGTACAAGAAATTTCTCCCATCAGGCACCGCTGCACGAGAGGGATCCTCCCACAGGAATGTACCGTGCAGCAGAACCGACAATTTACATTAAAATACAGAACTTTTTGAATATGGACGTTCGGTAGATAGCTGGGGTCTGAGCGCATCATTCGTGAGATTACCGCTCAGATCCCAGCTAAACCAACCGAACGCCGCACGAAAAACACATTCATTAAAATATAGGTTCAAAATACCGATTGCCTTCCAAGGAACCAAATACCGAACGGCCCGGACCTCCCGAACGGCCTGGAAGCTCAGCGGTGTTCGCGCCGTCGAATAGCCGTTTTTAGTACCATGCGCTCAACGACCAAACACCGCTGAGGGAACAAAGGATCCAAGATGGCCGACCGCCGCATGGTCGGTAGTCGAACGGCGGCCACCTAGGAGAGCCTCTAATTACCGATTGCAACATTATTGCAATCGGTTAACAAGTGCCACACGCCTCTAAGTGTGTGGGCTACTACATGGGGGTAATCAAGTTTGATAAAGTACAATACAGAAAATACAGTACATACAGCTATCTGCATTCGGCAGATAGCCAATACAGCACATACACGTTAATTACAACCAGCATCCATTCTACATAGTTAAGCACATATCCCACAACCATACAGGCAACCCTTAAAGGCACAGTCTCGTTATATTGTCAAAGTGGCTATGTTTGCCACAGTCGGTCTCCAGCAGCAGGGCTGTGTGTCTAAAGGGGAGACAGTCGGTCTCCAGCAGCAGGGCTGTGTGTCTAAAGGGGAGACAGTTGGTCTCCAGCAGCATTGCTGTGTGTCTAATGGGGAGACAGTCGGTCTCCCCTTCCAACAACCAGGCTTCAACCAGGCTACCTTCCCAGTAGCACTGGCACCAGGGCAGAGTACCGCTGGTCTCTGCCCACTCAGCAACCCACCAAGTCAGCATACCCGTACCCAGCACAGCCGTGGTGAGGCCCCTAGATATGGACAAGCTTCTCCTCTATCCCGGTGTAGTAACCATTTATTGTGGGTGGGCTGTGCTGTTGATTGTGTTTTGTGGGTGGGCTGCTGGACTAACAAGAGCACTGACCAGCAGGAGGTCAGATACCCTCTTAGTCTGTTTGGAAAAGGGGAGAGATGTGAAGAGAGCAATCTCGCCACATTGCATTGGAGAAGCCTGGTTGCTCGCCTGTTGCCTTTGGATTATGGCCCCATGTTAAAAGGCTTGATTTTCCCCTGCAAAGACAAGAAAGCCGGGTAATTTGGTGCTTGCCCTGTTTGAGCAGTGATACCCCAGATAGCTATGCCATGGAGCCCATTCGTATAATGAAAGACTATGGGAAAGAAAGACTTTGGCTCCATGGCAATTGAACTGTATGTGTGTGCTCTGAGCGCCATTCAGTAATAATGTGCGCTCAGACCTAAGCTATCTGGGCATATGTTGTATGTCTGTATTTTAGGTCATAGTAGTAACCTTGTGTATTTTATTGTATTTTACGGTCTTTTTGCTGCCATGTGTTCAAAGGAGTTTTGCCTCTGTCTTTGGAGATAATTGGATTACTTCACAATTATCTCCAGGATAGAAGACTCTGTGGAACTGGTTTTGGGCAGAAAAGCCATGCTTCCTGTGGTCACAAAGGACTACGATCTATCTTTTTGAACCACTGGACCAATTTGTATGATTTTGACGTATGTTTGTATTTGGAGTATGCTGATTCTGAAAATGTAAAATTTTATGTGAATGTGATGCATACTTTTCAAGTTATGAATAATGTGGAAAAATTGTATTTCTCTGCTTGTGCTAAATTACATTACCCATTGTGTAAGGTAATTGAATCACAAGCAGAGGGGAGGAATTTGTGTGGGAGTGTCTGAGTGTATTGTATGTGTTTATTGGTTGTGTTCCAAAACCCTGTGAGTGGTACTAATGTGTAAGAATGTGTACATAAGCACAATAAACCCACAGCTCTGACTGTTCACTGCTTGACCCTCAACACGGAGCTTTGTCTCCTTCTTGGGAGGATTTACTTTATGCTGTTCCAGTTTGATTGCTAGTAGTGTAAACTTATTCGTATGCTTTTTCCTATTCGTCTGCTAGCAGCGATTCGTATGGTTCCAGTTCGTGTGTTTGGAGTGCTGTATTGGATGCCGTTCGGGAGTTTGGAGCATTCCCTTATTGGCGGTTCGTGAGTTTGGTGTTTTACAGTAGCTGTGCCTGCATCTTTGGAAAGGGGGATGATTGCCTAAATGGTTTTTACCCCTTGTGTGCAAAACGGTCCGTTACAGTTGGTCACCCAGATCGGGGCTATCAGGGGACATATTATTTGTGGGGATACCCCATGTATAAAGGGGTGTTGCAAATATTGGGGAAAATTTAGATTTTTCTGCCTGGAGATAATCAAGTTATTACTTTATCAAACTTGATTATCTCCAGGACTAGGGGAGGGAATTGTATGTGTGTACTGGGTGTGTTTTATGCTTTTACTGTGCCAGATTGGTTAAACTCTGTCCCTCCCTGTGGGATGTCCCCTTGCATGGGGACTTGCATAAAAGCCTGTGTGTGATCATTAAAGCTCAGTTCAGTTGTACCCTTCTTCTTGACTTCGGCTGATGTTTGGAGATTTGTGTGCTTTATTAAGGGAATTATCTTATGAAGCTATTGGGATTACTATACAGTTCGTCTATTTCATCTACTGAACGGAGAGCTATATTCACTGCTGCTCTGCCGGTTCGGGAGGAAACTACCGAATGAGGATTACATATACCAGGTTTCCTTACAGGAAGTAATCAAATTATCTCCCAGGACAGAGGCAAGACTCCATTAACCACATGGTTACAAAAAGACATAAAATTACACAATGTTACAATTACTACATAAAACATATACATGCAACATATCCCCAGATAGCTTAGATCTGAGTGCACATTATTATTGAATGACGCTCAGATCACATACATACAATTCAATTACCATGGAGCCAAAGTCTTTTCCATAGTCTTTCGTTACATGAATAGGCTCCATGGCACAGCTATCTTGGGTAGCACTACTCACATACTGAAAGTCCCGAACGCCCCGGCAGAAATACACAAATAAACCTTTCTGCAGGGTAAAATACAGCTATCAGCACAGGGGCCATAGTCGGAAGGCAGGAGGCTAGCCAGTAGTCCCCTATAGGCACAAGTGGTGAAGGGCACTTCGTCACACGACACTTAAGACCAAGATTCTAGTTCTATGTCTAGTTCCGGGAGCAGATAGCCCCCACCTGAGCTGTCTCTCCTAAATCAGTCTGTTCCTTCTCTTTTCCGGAACTTATCTGTTATATGTACATGATGTTCATCCCTTATCTGTACTCCTTTCACCCTTTCACTCCCTTCCTACTACGTTTCTATGTGTTTTTCCACGTAAGCACTTACTTTTAATGTATACAACCACATACTGATAAACGACAGAAGCTTACTTTGATAACCAACATGAGTCTGGTGTCTAATTCACGCTTTTCCAAGTGCACTTGAAATAACAATTTGGGTTCCTCTGAATATAACAAAGATCGATATTGGATCTATATCATTAGTGACCTCAAGATATTTCATTAGACAATCCTTCACATCCAGTTGATGAAGCTTTACTTCTTGCAAGGAGGAAGGGTTTGGATAAAAGGAAGGAAGGACAACTTCCTGTGAAATGTGGAATTGCGAAACCACCTTAGGCAGAAACTCCATTCTAGGTCTTAAAATTATTCTATCATGGAAGAACCATAAATGGAGAAGGCTTGAATTTCAAACATTCTTTTAGCAATGGTAATTGCCACTAAGAACAATGTCTTATATGTCAGAAAATTAATACCCAACTCATCCAAAGGAGCAAAATGGGTGTGACAAAGTGCCCTTCGCCACTTCTACCTGGAGAGGACTAATGGCTAGCCTCTTTCCTCATGACTATGGCCCCTCTCATCAGCCCATGCTGTAACTTTAACCCCATGGCGATTTGACTGTGTTTGTGGGATCTGAGCGCTGTTCGGATATATTGACCGCTCAGACCCAAGCTATCTGGGGATAGGTTGAATGTGGGGGTTCTGTACAGTATGATAGGAGTTATGTATTTTTGTGTATTTTTGCTGTTGTTGTGAATAGGGATATTTTCTGTACCTGGAGATAGTTGGCTTACCACACCCAGTTAAGCCATTTATCTCACACAGCCTAACTCTGTGAAACTGGTTTGGGCAGGAAAAGCCATGCTTGCAGTGATCACAAAGAACTTCGACCTAACTTTTAAACCAATGGAAGGAATTGCCTGATTTTTTAGTATGTTTGTATGGAGTATGCTGATTCTGAAAATGTAAGTAAATGTGATGTATACTTTTAAGGTTGTGAATGTTGTGTAAAACTGTGTATTTTCTGATAATTAAGTTAGTCTATTGTGTTGAGATAATTGTATCACAGGCAGAGGGGAGGATTTCTGCTGGTATGAATGGGAGTGTTTAGCTGTGTTGTAATGTATTGATTGGTTTGTTCTTCAAAACCCTGTGGGCGGTCCTGTATGTGTAAGACCTCCATAAAAGAAAGCCCTTTGGTGCCAATTAAACAGAACTACTTGACCCTTTCTTGAAGCCTTGGCTCATGCTTGGGGGATGGGATAACTACACTCTTGGGGATTGCTATATCACAAAGCAATAAACTCTTGTAAGAGCTTGTTCCTGGTTCCTGCTCTCTGGATATAGGAGAGGTCTACCCAATGGAAGCTGGATCCTGGCCTTGGATCCAGGGTGGGTGAGAGACGGCGAGACCCCGGCACAGCTGCATCGCTGGAAGTGGCGTCTGCACTGCTGATGGTGTCAGAGTGCTCGGAGTCCTCGGCAAGCACTAGGAGCATCGATTGGCGGAGGTATTCAGTCGGAGTGCCAGCGGTCCGTCACAAGGGGTGTCTGACAGAACATCCAGCAACATAGGAAGATCCCAAGGAGGAGCATAATTTCTGGATGGAGGTCTTGTACGTATAGCTTCCTTAAAGAACCTCGCTATCAGAGGATCTGATGCCCATGAGGTGTTAAACAGTGCAGATAAAGCTGATGACTGTAGTTTTAATGTGCTCAGGCTTAAACCCTTTTCCAGAACAGCATGTAGGAAATTTAGAACATCAATATTATTAGGATGTAGGAAGTTTATAAAGTTTTGTTCTGCCCATAAACGAAAAATATTCCATATCCTGTGATAACACACTGAAGTGGAACTTATTCTTGATTTCAAAAGTGTTTCAGTCACAGATTCAGGTAATCCTTGTTCTAAGAGTCTATTCTTTTCAAGAGCCTTTGGGATTTGAGCATTCCTGTTCAAATTCATCAAGTCGATCTGAGGCATGCCCCACCTTAATGATATCATCTGAAATACTTTTGGATGTAATTTACATTCTACCGCTAAGATCGTAGTTCTGCTCAGATAATCTGCCAAAATATTCTCCGGTCCAGGGAGGTACAGTTCGTCTATTTCATCTACCGAACGGAGAGCTATATTCACTGCTGCTCTGGCGGTTCGGGAGGAAACTACCGAATGAGGATTACAAGACCCTGTTTCTTGTCTTGAGCAAATTCCATAAGTGGAACTATTTCTACCAAAAGAGCTTTGCTTCGGGTTCCACCTTGGCGATTTATGTAGGATGCCAAAGCTCTGTTGTCCATTTGAATTCTTACCCAAGAGTTCTTTGGGCACTGCTGAATCCCAAAAGGACATAGTAAATTACTCTTAGTTCTCTGAGATTTTAATGCATTTTTCTCTCGTTGCCTTCCATGTAACTTGTATCCTATTCTCGTATAAATGTGCACCCCATCCTTGCAGACTCGCATCTGTGGTAATTGTCTTCCATGGCTGGTTCCTCCAACTGAAATCCTAGAGATAGGTGTTTTACTTCCGTCCACCATTGTAAGTAGTTTAAGGTTTTCGGACTGAGAAAAATTCTCTGATCCCAGTTGCACTCTTGTTTCTTGAAGTCTTGCAAGAACTTAATTTGTATTGGACGCCTTTTCCACTATGCCCATTTGACTAATCCTATGGTGGATGTGAGTGAGCCCAATAGGATTTTAAATTCCCTTGCTGTTATGAGTACTTTGTATTGAAGATTCCGGATCTTTACTTGAATTCTCTCTATTCTTTCTGGTGATAATTTCACTGTCCCGATGGTTGTGTCTGTTGCTGCAATTAGGAATATCATTCTCTGGGATGGGTTCATCATGCTCTTTTCTATATTCAACTTCCATCTGTGTTCTTGTAGACATTCTACTGTCACCTGAGTGTGAACGGCTACTATCTGGTGGGATGGACCTATAATCAAGAAATCGTCAAGTTAATGATAGATCTTTATCCCGTTCTTCCCCGGATAACGAAAACCTGTTTATCAACCCTGAAGGTGTGTGCTGTTCTTTGATGTTATCCTCCTGTAGCCTTACAAATTGGTGTAGACAATTGCTGTCTACTGTGTGATCTTCCGTTGGGGGTTTTATTTTACACTCAGTTGTTTGTGGGTTATAAATGTTCATTTTATTCACATACTGGGGTGGTATTAGTGGCTGGAGGGATGTGAAATGAGACCTATACATATGGTCACTGTAGCGGATGGCCCTGGGCTGTCCTGAGAATTTCATGTATTTTAATGTGTTCGTGTAAAAACAGCAAGTTCTATGTTTATAATGTATTGTATTCGTCTGAATGTTAGGTAGTTTCATTCCCTTAGTTTGTTTGAATGAAACTACCGAACAGTCAGACCTCCCCGGTGTGAAGTGTGTCCTCAATTAACCGTTGCAACATTGTTGTGAATGGGTAATTGACAAGTTAAGTAGCCGTCCTTTGTTCTCGGGGGTGGCCGCCATTCGAAAAACGAACAAGTGGCGGCGGCCATTTTAAAACTCCCGAACAGCGGTGTTTTGCCGTCGAGTGTCTGGAACTCAAATCGGACACTCGACTAGGCGAACACCGCTGAAACCTCCACAAGCCCGGTCCGTTCGGTTCCTAACTACCGAATGGCCCCTCGTTCTGTAGATAGAAAGAACCGAACGAGGGGATTCAGGCGAATCCTCCCTAGCCTCTGTAGCTAGAGGTTTTCGTGCAGTTTCCTTACTCCAGGACCGACATTTTATTCCCTCCATAAATTTCCCGAACCCCTGGTCTGATCTGGGTGATTTTTGGATATGTTGTTCACCCAGATCAGGGCTACCAGGGGATGTAGGATTTAAAGTGGTACCCCTAAGTTTAGGGGTACATCCAGAAATGGGGGGAATTTGTGTCCTGGATAAGGGGATTATGATGCAGGCTGAGGGGAGGAGAGGTGTGGGAGGTTACCAGGACAGGATTGGCTACTGTACTAATGAATGAAAATCCCTCCCTTGCATGGGAGCAGGCTTTAAAAGGCCACTGTCTGAATAAAGCTTTAGTTATGCTCCTGAAACTGTGTGTCGTCCAGTTCTTGGGAATTGCTGTTGGGATACTGCTGTTACTTTGCCTGCTGGATACTTTACCCTATGGATTTATAATTGCTCGTTCCTGAGTCTCCCTGGGATCAAAAGTGGAGATAGGCTGTGTAATACCAGCTCTCCGCTACAGTCACCTTTGCCTTTTATTACCTGCACCCCCTCTCTACATGCATAATGACCATTTGATTGTGTTTTGCGATCACTGGAAACACAATTCCTGGTTGCCCATAGCTCATATTCCTAAGTATATACTCCCATATTATCTCCTTTATCAAAAAATGTTTTTCTCCATTGTACAGGGAGTCAGGAGATATTTCATGGTCTGTAGACTTACCCTGATCGGCCAGACTGAGCTTAGCATGTTCAGTTTTAAAACGATCTCTCTCAGTCTGGACCTCAGTCAACATTATTTTATAATTGTAGATTATGCTAGCTTTAGTGTAACTATAATCTTAATTTTATTAATGACAGGAGGCGAATATTTGCTTAAGTCTCTCTTTACTAGAACTCCACAGCAGCACATTAACATAGAGAGAAAAACCAATCACAAAAAAAGTAAGGAAACCATAAAAGGCCTCTCCCAACCAACTACTTCCTCTTTCTAGCTGCGACAAAAAGTACATAAACAATAAAACTCAATAGTAATAGCAGAAAAAAAAAAAAAAAATCAGCCAATTTCTGTCATCCGAAAATCAAAACGAACGTGCATCAGTAGATGAACCCTTGAACTTTATCCCGAAGAAGGCCTGGAACTTGGACCCGTAGCAGAACCATTAAACTGAAACGAGATAAACAGAGTCGAAAACTTAGATTAGTGAATGAAATCTACTGTGAAAACATGAATACCCATAATCAATCACCGACAGTACAACATCCCAGAAAACACACTCTGACTTCCCCTAAATAGACAATTAGCTGACCTCTCTACCACAGTCCTGGAGAACAGACTAACACTACAATAGGTTAACTAAAAGCAAACAAAAAATAAAGGGAGGGAGAAACTAGGAGGGAAATATTTGTCTCCTGTCATTAATAAAATTAAGATTATAGTTACACTAAAGCCAGTATAATCTACAATTTTATAGCATGACAGGAGGCTTCATATTTGCTGTTTTAACGCTCCGACAGCAAAGCAAATGAAGCATGATCCGGTGGTCTAAAATAAAATTGGTGAAAGGTATCTTCTGGGACCAGTCAGCTGAACGCATAATATCCTGAAGGGAAGCGCCCGCCATGAAGGCTCCAGAAGCTGCTGCGCCTCTGACCGAATTCACACCGTAGGTCGAATTCACCCCCGCCAATGCCAATAACCATTTAACCCATCGCGCCAGAGTAGGAAACGAGACCGGTTTGTGAGGTCTGACATAAGAAATCAACAACTGGCCAGAATGAGAAGAGCAAAGAGGAGCGGTAATCGCCACATAACGAGACAGAGCTGTTGCTACTCAGAGCTTAGACGATGTAGCGGAGAGGTAGTATAATCCACTGATAAACAGGAACAGCATACAATAATCCCGGTAGCGTTGTATAAATCCTTCCTTCCCAAGAACTAGACAACACATAGGCTGGGAGTCAACTGAGGTTTTAATCACAGGTCACAGTATTTATGTGGTTCCCCATGCAAGGGGTTTCCTTACTGACTTTACAGGGGTTGTACAGTAGAGTAGCACTAGAATATCCGCTGGGCTAACAAAGGATCCAAGATGGCCGACCGCCGCGTGGTCGGTATCCGAACGGCGGCCACCCTGAACATCTATTAACTACTGAAAGCTACATTGTTGTGATCCGTAATGGAAGCCACACGACCTCCTTTTCAGTAGTTTGTTTGTTTCACGAACAGTGTTGAAATTCACTGTTCGTGAAACTACTGTATGAATGCTGGTGGCTTTCATGCCGCCAGCATACGAATGCTCTGGTTCACATCAAATACAGAATAGGGAACATGCACAGTTCAGATAGCCTTAAAGCTACAATATCACATGAATGAAAATACAGTCTTAAGTGGCTGGTTTTGCCACAGGCGAGTTGTGGAAATATGGCCGTCGAATCCGACTTAGTACGACTAGACACCCTCAAGGATCGCATACGAACCCAACCGAACAGATTTGCCTCAGCTGGTTCCTATACCAAACAATGTACCGAACACTTGGACCACCCAAAGCAGTCGTGTGCTGCCAATCGACCCCACAAACACTTGCTCTAACCGCAACACTGACGTTCTAAGTGGTTCACTGGGTGGCTGTCGATTCATATGTACGAACACGTGGCGGCAGCCATCTCATTGTGTCGAACTCGTCCAGCGGTGTTTGAGCGTAGAGTGTATGGAACTATTTTCAGACACTCAACGGCCCGAACACCGCTGAGACTTCCAGGATCACCTAGGTTCGTTCCAAATCATCCGAAAGAGCCCCAAAGCCATCATGCAAACTCCCATACTAACACATTTTGATACTATATTAATTCCTTTATACAACATAGAGCCGTGGGTTTATAAAAAAAAATTTGCCTTTCCATAGTGTAAAACACTATTTGACAAAATACTTCTTTGTTCAGGGACCATTCCCCTAGGTCCATGCTTGACCTGCTCAGGAAGTCTGCCAGGGTATTGTCTATTCCTGGAGGGACACAGCTTTCAGATCTTTCAGGTAAATCATAGCTCACTCCATGATAGGTTGCATTTGAAGAAGTTACTGCTTGCTCTTCGTACCACCTTGATGATTCAGGTATGCAGCCACCACTCTGTTGTCTTTTTTTATTTATCACTCTTTTCCCCTCATTGAATTGTCTGCTTTATAGAAGAAATGGACTCCATCTTGTACGACATGCTTTTGAGGAAAGTGTTGATTTTATTAAAGGACACGGAGGCTCCTATTGTGCTTCTCTCTTTCTTTTATTCTTCAGCAGCAAAAGAAAATTATAGTATATATATTCAATGTAAAAAGGGAAAAAACAATTCAATAACACCACATCATACTTCTAAAGGGTTAATCAGATACCACATATGAACCAATCAGAGTGTCCCCATTACCACAAAGTCCCATGTGACCCTAAGCCACTCCTCTTTCTTTTGCTGCTGCAGCCTCAGATAAGTAACAATTTTATTAAAGGACACGGAGGCTCTTATTAGGCTTATCTCTTTCTTTTATTCCTCAGCAGCAAAGAAAGCTAAGGTGTTTATTTGTAGAAAAAAACATACATAAATACCCTCACAGGGTTAACCTTACATCATTATCTCTTAACCAATAGGAACAGTCCATCTCTGATATCCTCTCATGTAACCTCCTCCTCTTCCTCTTTCTTTGCTGCTGCCTCAGCTAAGTAACACCTTCATTTTTTCTTGATATGCATTGCTTAATTTGATTCTGTGATTTCTGTTGATTCTGTGTTGTTGCTGCAGTATAATCTCCTGACTACTGTGTTTTCCCTCCCACCCTCAACCCTCCTGTGGGTTCACTCAGTGGGGGTGCCCCTCCCACGCATCCCCGCCGGTTCCCCGACCCCCAGGGCGGGTATACCGGCCGTTCACCTCACTATCGGGTAGTTTATTACCCGTCCTCCCACCCGCGGCACTCGGGCGCTGGGCGCAGGGAAACCCCTGGGAACGGTTCAAACTGTTCCCTGACTGGGTTTTTTCCTCGGCGCCAGTGCCCGCGAGTGAGTGCCGCGCGCGCATGCGCATTTCCAGCCGCGACCCGCGGCGGCCATCTTAAAGGGGCGGCAGACATAAATTTTGCCGCTCTTTTTTCCCCCTCAGCTCGCTCAGCCCAACAAGAAAGGGCGAGCTGATTGGTTTAGAGGCCTGCCTGTCAGCTTACCAGTGCTCCCAGAGGGCATTCCTGAGGGAACACTCGGTAAGCTAACAGTGCAGCCTTTTTTCTGTCCTGTCTTTGCCTTGTCTGACTGTCTACCCTGCCCTGCAGTGTGTAATTAACAGCCACAGTTTTTACTGCCAGACTGTGTGAGTCCCATTATCCTGCCACTAAGTATCTAACTATGCAGACCCTAGTGAGCACCCTGTCTCTGGCCCCAGTGATGGTGAGGACACCAACGCCCGCCACCAGACCAAGCTGTCTGAACCCCTAACCCTCCAAGGGGATGCGGTGGCTCCGCTGGAGCAGCTGGACTCGCAGGAGTTCCACTCACTCCTGGACGCCACCATGTCACGGTCGGTCACCCAAGCGATTTATTCTGCAATGGGGGCTATGTCTGACAATCTCTCTCACTCCATCACTACTGCTCTTAAGGCATCCACCACCAATTTGCCCCGCGCTAGAGCCGTGGCAGACGGGTCATTACGCAGGGAAGGCCGGAAAGCCATAAGCAAAACCCATCACGTGCAAACTCCTACCTCCAAAAAAGAATTGACAGACAGGGTACGTCCTGTCACCGCTGAGGTCGTGGGGCCCCCACGAAAGAGAGCCACCCGCCGGGCAAAAGCGGCGCGGACGTGGAAGAGGGCAAAAGCCCTGTCAGATTCTTCCGACACTGATTCGGATAGTGAGGAGGTTTTGAACGAGTCCGACGAGATCGACTCAAATGAATGGGAGGTCTCCTCCCCGGACCATAGTCCGTCACGAGATCCAAATACCCTAAGGTATGATAACGCGGATCCGTCCGCCATTTTGGATCCACAGGGCGAACCTCTGTTCGATCCCGATACATTACAGAACCCTAGGTCAGCAGAGTGGTTCCCAACTGAGCATGTGGCACGCTACATAGCAGCCAGAATCCGTAAGCCTTTAGATAAGGCCACCAGGAACAAGTTGCGGGCAGAATGCCCACGGCCAACAGTCCCCGACACGGCCTGTGCCACGCCGGATATAGATCCCAAGGTAGCACAGTCCCTGGGAAAAACTGGCTGGAAGGCAAAGAAGGGATTGGATTACTCCCTACGCCACTGCCAGGACAAGGTACTCGATACACTCGGCCCTAGTGCCAAAATCTTCGAGCTGGTTGAAGCAGCCCTAACTGAGGGGGCACCGTTAGAGTTGCTAGCCATTAGAGGCTGGGCCCAGAGGTCCATTTGCCTCATCGGCAACGCTAACGCCGCGCTAGCCACTGAGCGGCGCAAAACCATTCTTATGAAAATTGAGCCCAAGCTCGTAAACATGGCCCTCACCGAACCGGGGCCACAAGCCAAAGGTCTCCTATTCGGAGACAATTTCGTTAAGGAGTTAAGCACTTACGTAAGCACGTTTACGGCCCTAGACAAGGCACAGACAAGCATAAAAAGAGTGTTCTCTCCCAGAGTTTTTGGTGGGGCCGGCAGACACCGGGGCCGTCTGCCCGGCCGTTCATCCCGTGGTTCATACCGGGGATACCGAGGTCCCGCTACGGCTAGATTTCAGCCGCCAGAAAACAGAGCACCCTCGCCCTTTTTTCCGGTCAGAGGCAGACCATGGCGACCTCGAGGAACCAGAGGCACCTCATACAGCCGACGGCCTTATGGTGAGTGCAATACCTTTCCCCTCCCCGGGTATACACAGCGTAGGGGGCAGACTGTTACACTTTATAGAGGTCTGGCAACACTTGACAACAGACTCGTGGGTCCTAAATACTGTAGTAGGGTACCGCATAGAGTTCGTACAACCCCCTGTCCAAACTACCTGGCCACACCGAATAACATTCTCCTCACACGACAGGGACCTGGTGACCAAAGAGATCCTCTCACTCCGAGAAAAAGGCGCAATATTTCAGGTTCCCTCACCCTTCCCGGGGTTCATGAGCAATCTATTTCTGGTACCCAAGAAAGGAGGCGGAGTCCGCCCAGTCATCAACTTGCGGCCCCTAAACGCATTTGTCCGATACCGCCATTTCAAAATGGAAGGTATCCACTGCTTACGAGACCTGCTCAGAGTGGGGGACTGGATGGTCAAACTAGACCTGCAAGACGCCTACCTCACGATCCCTATAGCGGAAGAATGTCGCCACCTACTCCAATTCCAATGGCAAGGAGCGACATGGAGATTCCAATGCCTGCCCTTCGGACTCTCATCGGCCCCTTGGTGCTTCACCAAGCTCCTAAAACCAGTGGTCGCGTTATTGCGCAGCAGAGGCATACGAATGATCATATATCTGGACGATATGCTGCTCATGGCGCACGAGGCCTGCCAACTCCGACAGCATCTATCCTGGGCATTGACCCTGTTAAGAAATTTGGGATTCCTCATCAATTGGAAAAAATCGGTACTTACCCCATCTCAACACATGGAATTCCTGGGATTCCACATAGACGCAACGACCGGGACGCTCAGTTTGCCAACAGACAAAGTCAAGAGCATAAAAAAGGAGATCCGCAGAACACTGACAAGACCAGTGTTAACTCTGCGACAACTAGCCAGGGTACTTGGACTCCTATCAGCCTCCATCCAGGCAATCTTCCCGGGGCCTCTACATTACAGGGCTCTGCAAAGGCTAAAAGCCTCACATCTACGCTCGGGGCACTCATACTCCGACTCCGTCCCACTCGACCACGAGGCCAAGCAGGAACTCACCTGGTGGCTGCATCATATGGAAGCATGGAACGGCAGGGCTATCTTCGGAACTGCCCCGGACTTCACCATAGAGTCCGACGCGAGCACACACGGTTGGGGAGCGCGCTGCGGGCCTACCTCCACCGGAGGCATCTGGTCACGCTCAGAGAAAGAATTACACATCAACGGCCTGGAACTCATGGCGGGGTCATTCGCCCTGAGAAGTCTCCTCGGAGCCGCAACCAACTGCTCCATTGTCCTGCGAATGGACAACATATCTGCAGTCCGATACATCAACCACCTCGGTGGCACAAAGTCAAGGATCCTGGCGGACTTGGCCAAAGACTTTTGGCAACATTGCCTGGCACGCAATATTTCGGTACAAGCGGAATACATCCCGGGCATGTCCAACATAGTGGCGGACTGGTACTCCAGACATCTGCGAGACACCAGCGACTGGCGGCTAGACCGCAGTGTGTTCTTACGACTTCAGACGCTCTGGGGCCCGATGCAAATCGATCTCTTTGCGTCTCGTTTGAACTCCCAATTGCCAACATTCTTCAGCTGGAGGCCGGATCCAGACGCCCTGGCAGCGGACGCTTTTTCTCCAACACTGGCCACACAACAGATTGTATGCATTTCCTCCGTTCTCCCTCACAGCTCGAACACTGGTGCACCTCAGGCGGACTCAAACGTCATTGGTCCTCATAACCCCGTTTTGGACAGCTCAGCCGTGGTTCCCCACACTCATGGAGATGTCTATAGACCTGCCGAGACACTTACCAGACGTCTCATACCTTTTAGCAGATCCAGAGGGCAAACCACACCCCCTGTTGGTACGGGGGCAACTCAAACTTTTAGCATGGTTGCTTTCAGGGGACCATGGAGCGTCCCAGAGGTTCCACAGGAAACTATCGATCTACTGGCAGGAGCTTGGGCGCCTGGAACGAGACGCTCCTACCTCTATGCCTGGAACGGATGGAGTAGTTGGTGCATGGAACAGCAGGTGGATCCCATATGTGCTCCTATAAATTACCTGTTGCGTTTCTTTACCAACCTATACAATCAAGGTTTGGCCTATCGCACCATCAACGTGTACAGGTCTGCAATCTCAGCGGGACACCGGGGAATAGATGGGACCCCAGTGGGCCAACAACAATTGGTATGCCGTCTCCTTCGAGGTATTCGGTTTGCTCGTCCACCGCAACCCCGATACACGTCTCTATGGGACGTCAACTCAGTTTTACAACTGTTAGAAACTTGGCCACACAATGAGACACTCACACTGAAACAACTGTCAGCAAAACTAGTCATGCTCCTCTGCTTGATCTCTTGTAAGAGAGTGTCAGACGTCAGGGCGTTGGACGTTGATGCAAGATCCTTTACTCCCACGGGGGTTTCATTCAACATCTCCAGACGTACAAAGTCATCAATTACCTCAGTTTCGTATCCAGCATTCCCGCATAACCGTAAACTCTGCCCGGTGGTTTGCTTAAAGGAATACGAGACAAGGACCCTGGAATTCAGAAACCCGAGGCACCCGGAATTGTTTTTAGCTATCAAACAACCACACCATCCCGTATCCACGGTAACTCTCGCCAGATGGGTGAGATGGATAATGGCCTTAGCCCACATAGATACAACTGTATATGGTGCACACTCTACCAGGGGGGCCATGGCTTCAAAGGCTTTTAATTTAGGTTGTAAATTGGAAGATATCATGAAAACAGCAGACTGGTCTAGGGCATCGACATTTAAGGAATACTACTTTCGACCTACAGAACATGTGTCAAGTTTAGTTATTGCACAGCTTTAAACTAGCCTAATAAGAGCCTCCGTGTCCTTTAATAAAATTACCAGATTTTACTAATTACATGACGTAAAGTCATGATTTTATAAAGGACACGGAGGCGAGTATTAGCCCACCCAGGGCAGATACAACAAAACATTTGTATCCCAACCCAGGTACGTAATAGGGACTTTTTTTCGTTAAATGAGTTATCATTGATATAAGGTATATGTGTTACGCTATGGTAAA